GAGAGAGAGAGAGAGAGACAGAGACAGAGACAGAGTCAGAGAGAGACAGAGAGAGAGACAGAGAGAGAGAGACAAAGAGAGTGTATAGGGGCTTGAACTCAGGATCAAGGTGCTGTTCTAGAGATCTCTACCACTTGAACTACAACTCCACTCAGACTTTCCTGCCCAAGCTGGCTTCAAACTGAGATTCTTAGATTTCAGCCTCCTGTGTTAGCCACCAATGCCAGGCTCTTACACCATTTTTGAAAACACTATCTTTCAGCTCCTGAACTACTTTTGAAACTTTTCTAAAAATTTTGGACACATTGTCAGATTGAGTTCCATATTCTGTTCCATTGAGCTATTTAATTTATCATCAATCCTGTTCTGATTACTCTTCCTATATAAATCTGCCTTTAAATTCATCCTGAGCTTAAGATAATAGTCATTTCCTTTTTCAATTCTTCAGATAAAAAATGTTACTTTTAAAACTCCTTACTACATTTTAATATTTTAACTTAAAAGCCAACAGTTTTATTTAAATAATAGAATTTCCAAAATCTACAAGTTAATATAATCCAGGGAAGAGGATATGGATTGAGGCTATGCTACAAAATGGGAAAAGATTATATTGACCAAAATAGCTCTACTTTTGTCAGGGTAAATTAATTATTTTAAATAAAACTATAAAATATGTAGCAAAATTTGTATATTCCAAAAGGCTAAAATCATCAAGTAGCAGGTCTTCTGAACTGTGAAATTTCATGTGTTCAAATGCTTCCCAAGCATTATATGAGGCTTCCTGCCTGAAGTCCATAAATTTTTATTGTCTGTCTTAAAGCTCATAAACTTTCTTGAATGGTTTCCAATCATTTATTCTCTACAGAAACTAATCTGCAGAATTGCCTTTCTAACACTTACTTTGTTTTTGAACTGTGCAAATTATATCTTTGTACAAAATACTCAACAACTGTACATATTGTTTCAATTCTGCTCTCAAGTGGACATGCAATAATGAAACACTAATTGTAATTAGAATGTGTTAGTTGTTCAGAGTTTTTTTTTTGCTGGTCCCACTGTAGAATTTTATGACAGAAAACCTTATATTCAAATACCACCCAATAAGAATCCATGACTAAACCAGAAACATCTTTTTGCATCATTCTCTTCCCAGATCCACACTGCAGCTCAGCATGAAGCCAGGAGGAATGTCTAATTTACATGCCCATGAACACACACACACACACACACACACACACACACAAAGTATAGCAAAGATAAGCCTGAGAATGTCACAAATTCTGATTCATCTGACACATTTACTAAAGGCATTTAAGAAATTATTCCAGTTATCCACTATCAGGTATCAAAGAATAGATATTGCTTCCAAACCTCTATGCAACATAGCCATCAGTGTCCCTATGCAGTGACTGGATAACACTAAAATTTCTAGGTTGGCAGATGTCTAAGATAAAATGATGAACTGTCACCTAATGTTTTTCTTGGTGATCCCACCAAGAAATAATTTCTCACAGAGGAGCATTCCTTTACCTGTTTGACATCATATGCCAGAAGGACGTACTTTAAATCTGGTGACACTGAATATCTAGATGCTTTGAAAGTTACCTAGGAAGAAAAAAAGAATGATTACTAAAAGAGACTAAATAACAGAAATCAACATGCATTTGGATATTTGAAATTATTAATATGAAATATATTTAAGATATCTTTATATATTCAATCATATTTGTATATACTTTTATTTATATTATATATTTAGCTTTATATTTTATATAATTATATTTAATTATATATTTCATATACCTATTAAAATTATTGCATTTCTAATCACAAAGCCTCTAAAATGAGCATGTCATTCTTTTTTGTTTGTTTGTTTTTTATTGTGAAAATACCATAAAGAGGGGTTACAATTACATGGGCAACATAATGAGTACATTTCTTATCAAGCATTGTTGCCTCTTCCTTTGTTTCCCCTTCCCATCCCTTCCCATCTCCTCCTCTCACCCTCCCCCAGTCCAAGTAAAGTTCGTTTTTGGACATAACGTCTTGTACATCTCATTGTTGCAATGGGTCCGCCTGTATCCCTATTTAAACAGTTTGTTTTTTCCCTTCCCCTCCACAAATTATACCAACATCAAATTCAGTGAAAACAGGGCTTATACCATGGGGGAGGGACATACAAAGCAACAAAGAAATCATCTTATAAATATATTAGAAACAATCACATGAAAGAAAAAATATTTGAATACTTATCTTGGGGTTCATTTCACCTAACATCAACTTATCTGACCTTTTTTGCTTGTCTCAGACATATATTAGTTATTGCAAATAAGGGAAACCATGAGACCTATGTTTCTTTGGGCCTGGCTTACTTCACTTAATATAATTTTTTCCAAGTCTTTCCATTTCCTAACAAATGGGACAATGTCTTTATACTATACATTGGCATATGTACAGATGTATGTTTGATTATAAAGAGGCAGACTAATATTTGGAAGTTATTAAACAGTCATAGGAAAAGATTCAGAAGGAAAAATTTCAGTATAGATTTCTATATACTCTTCCTTAAAGACTAATAATTTTATTATGAAAAAATAAAAGCATATTGAAATTCCTAAGAAGCTGGAATGCTTTTATATTTTCATGTTGGATTAATCAAAAGAAAAAAGATATCAACATTCTGTGTCATGATTTTCTGTGTCTGTGCTTTTATGTTTTTAAGAGTTGATTATTTATATTTAATGACGACACATTAAAGGAAGACTCTCTTTGAAGGAAATTCCCAGAGTAAAATAGATTAAAACACAAATATATAACTGATTCTTTTGATGCCAGACAGCAACTATAATAATCCTGTGCCGGACTGATTTTGGAGCCTACAATTTAACAATTGAACAGAATTGGTAATGGAAGGAATTTAATACATAATGAAAGTGAAACACATGAAGGGACAGATGACTTTGGGGGACATGGCAGTATTTGTCTAATGCACGTTTGAAAATAAGATAAGCAAGTTGGGTTGACACATGATCAAAACACTAAAAATTACAAACAAAATCAAAATGCATGAGCATCTTAAGCAAACTACAAAGTTTTAATAGCAAACATGTACATCTTAATTTAGGTCAATAGCCACAGGTGTTTACCAAAAAACAGAAAAGGGTAAAATCAGTTTCTGCTTTCTTTGCTTACTTCCCTCTTTCCCTCCGCCCTCCTTCCCTTCATTTTCCAAACCACAATGGCTAACATAGAATCTTAAGTTATTAATATATAGAAGGTTTCAGTGTTGTTTATGGTCTTTGTCCATGTCTCTTGACAGACAGTGCAAAAACCCTTGGATTTTCTGTTTGTTGTTGTGTTTTTTTTTTGGCTCCGGTCGTGGGGCCTGAACTCTGGGCCTGGGTGCTGTCCCTCAGCTCTTCAGCTCAAGGCTAGCGCTCTACCACTTGAGCCACAGCACCACTTCTGGCTTTTTTCTTTTTGCTTATGTGGTGCTGAGGAATCGAACCCAGGGCCTCAGGCATGTAAGGCAAGCACTCTACCACTGAGCCATCTTCCCAGCCCCAACCCTTGGATTTTCTAAGCAATAAATGTATCTTCTATCTCTCAATGCAAACTTTTCAATCATACTTGAATTTATGACAATGACACATGAGTAAAGTAAAGAGATGGGGCTGATTTAGAGCTTCAGATTGGCTAGTTAGCAAATCAGGTCAACCATGTGAAAATAGGTTTAGAGCCTTTAATAGAACCCCAAGGTTTGAAAGGGGAGTTTTAGTTCAATCTTGTTTTTAGTGATTTAAAAATCAAGCATGTGGGCAGGGAATGTGACTCAGTGGTAGAGTGCTTGCCTCACATGCATGAGACCCTTGGTTTGATTCCTCATCACCACATACACAGAAGAGATATCCACTAGGAATACATCGCACCTGCAATGGTCCCTTGGTGTGTATTAGGTGGGCAAATTTTGTAAAGAACACATTAATACGAGCTAGAAAGTGAATCAGTGGTAGTGTGCTTGCCTTGCATGCATGAGGCCCTGGGTTCAATTCTTCAGCACTATATAAGCAGAAAAAGACAGAAGTGGTGCTGTGGCTCGTGGTACAGTGCTAGCCTTGAGTGGAAGAGCTCAGGGACAGTACCCAGGCCCAGAGTTCAAGCTCCATGACCACAAAAAAAAAAAAAACAAGCATGCCTAATATAACACATTGACATAAAAACATCAAAACAAAACATCATGTTTTGAGGGTTGAGGGAGAATTCTAGGTTGGTCAATATACCAATGTGCTGGTCAGGTGATGTTCCCTCAACTGCAAAGTCAGAGGCTCCTATCTTCACAATCCATCTAAGTATTACCCTGCCTACATATTTATCAGTCTCAAGGCCTGTAATATGCAGCCCAAGTCAAAAGAGGGGGCTTTTGAGGAATTGGGCCCCTTAATCTGTGTAAGAATTGAAATATAGGACACTCTATTTGTATTATTAAAAGAACAAAATTACAAGCTATTTTCTGTATGCTAATTGGCTTTAATTTTAATTGTGTGTCATTTAATTTTACAAACTAGAGTATGCAATCTGATAGTCTGAGCAGGGGAAATTGTATTCAAACACAGAAAAGAAGAATGAAAACTCAGCAGCTTGGCTATTTCAAAGTTACTTTGCTTATAAAGCAGATTCAGAGATGAAACAATAGAAAACCCAGTTAATATCAGGTAACTTCATGTTAACTTTTATGCGTTATGGACTAATACAGGGAGGGCATCATTATAATGGCAATTGAACTGTCTTTTTGGAAATTTTATTTATCTCTTATTTCTCCTGATTTGATGGAAGGTCAAATAAACAAGCTAGTTTTTGATGAATATTTTAGCACAGATTACACCATTTTATTTTTATTGTATTTGCTTGTGTGTGTGTGTGTGTGTGTGTGTGTGTGTGCATGCACATGTTCATGCTTATACTGGGCTTGAACTTAGAATCTGGGTGCTGTCTTTTACTGATCCTTAGAGGTCAGTCTCCTGAGTAGCTACCATTATGGATGTGAGTAACTGATGCCCAGTCATTTTGATTTTTACTCAGATTTCAAGTTAAGGACCTGAGTACACAACACAGTTCCAAGATTATTTTTCCCCAGTCATGAGGCTTGAACTCTGAGTCTGAGCTCTTTAGCTCAAGGCAGGTGTTCTACCACTTGAGCCACAGCAACACTTTTGGTTTTCTGATGGTTAATTGGAGATAAAAACTCAAATGGACTTTCCTGCCCAGGCTGGCTTTGAACTGTGATCCTCAGATCTCAGCCTTCTGGGATTATATGCATAAGCCATTGGTACTCAGCTTCTGAAATTTGTATTTATTATTATTGAAGAATTGTTGTTGGACCAGATAGGTAGTTAATCCCTGACCAGAGATAAACAATGAGCACAGTGGATAATCAACTGGCAACGATAAGTATAATGCTTTATACAATTGGTGTAAAGACATTTTAGAAATCAAGGTGATCATTGGTAATAATTACTTTCAAAGTTTCTCATTTTCATTTTTTTAAAGATCCATTTCAACCACATGTCAGTGGCTCATGCCTATAATTTTATATACTCAGGAATCTGAGATCCACAGGATTTTGGTTGGTGGCCAACCCCAGCAGAAAAGTCCATGAGAGACTCATTCTCCAAAATAATAAGAAAAATGCTGGGGTGGAAGTGTGCCTCATGTGGTAGGGTATCAGCAGACCAAGTGTGTAGAAATAAATAAATAAACTCATTTAAACAATGAAAAGAACAAGAAGTTTAGCAGATGTAATTTATTCACCATGTATAATATAATCTTCAGGTTGCTAAGAACTTCTTAGTTCCTAATGTTCCTTGGGGTAATCTGTGAGATAGGTACCTTCATCTCTTCTCCTCTTTGCCATTAACTTATTGTATATTGGAATTTTATAGAAATTGGTCTGTGGGGACCGAAGGTAAAATTGAAGATACAAGGTCATCCCTCCCAGCATTACAGAGGTAGATGTACTATTCCTGAAAGGTATTACTCAGGAGACAGAGGCCTATTATCAGTTAAAAAAAAACAGTTAAGAGGACATGCCATCATTTCTGTCCTATGGGAGCTAGGAAAGTAGTTCATAGCTCTTAAACCTGTCTCAAGGTCAAAGAAAAACAAACATAACAAGACAGTCAAAGAAGACTACCTTTCATATGCCTCACATTATCTTATCAACATGATTTTTTTCTTTCTTTTTCACTTTTTCTTTGTAAAAAGCTTCCCTCACTGAAGTCTGATTTATTTAAAGGAACTCTTATCTCCTTGTTCTCCTTCAACCCCATGTGATATTCTTCACACAAATTAACTTCACACTTTCACAGGTGCCTCTGTGCCTCAGGTAACAACATTTTAGTCTCTTTTACAGTTCCTACAATTATCCAGTCTGGCACTTTATTAATTATCACTATACTCCCTCCAGCTTATGGCAGCAGTACACAATCTGGGAAACTCTCCAAATACCTTTTCAGGGGCCCACAAAGCTAAACGGTCCCAGAATTTAGTGAGGGATTTGCAGGTCAGTGGTGCTGTACAGAGATTCACTGGAGATACAATGTAAGAGA